GTGAAACACAGGCTGACCAGAGGGAGCTGGTCCTGCTGGGACAAGGCCAGAGGGCCTCCCCGTCCAGCTCACGCTGGGCACTCTGGGCCCTTCTTTTGTCCTGCACCCTGAAGTCTGACCAGGATGACCACATTCCTTTTGGAGGGGTCACTGGCAGGGGTGGTTTTGCCAGCCCCTCTGGCTCTAGTGGCCAGGCCCATCCATTATATGTCCCACACACTGCAGCGCCCAGTGAACATGGACAGAAAGGAAGGGGACAAGAGAGTGCCCAAGACAGTCACCTCAGGAAGTGTTGGTGGCCAGGTGCAGTGTGGTGAGTTTACCAGGAAGGGGCTGTGGATGGCCAGGCAGCTCCTCTGATGCTGCCCTCCCCTGTGGGCCCCCATGGCCACCCTAGACAAGTGGTGTGGGGGGGACAGCCATGGGGAATCCTGGAGGCCAGTTCTTCTTGTCCAGCTGGGACAGGGTGAGGGGCCCTTTGTTTGTAAGGAAGCGGCTATCCCACAGTGACCAGCTTTAAGGAGGACCAATTCTAAGGCAATAATCCAGGGGCTTAGCACATCTGCTTTATCGTGAGAGTAAAAGTTCATTAGATTCCTTATAAGAGTGATTTGCCATGAATTTGACAGGATTAAAATGGCACCACATACTTATGGGTCCACAGTTATTTCCTGGTCACACGGCAGCCCTGGCAGGGGGTCCCCTGGTAGATGGCTCTTTCCAGCAAGTCATTCAGAGACCAGGTGTGCCTTCCAGCCTGTGGCCCTGCCTTCACCTAGGGCCATGCCACCTGTATCCAGGTGACAAGGGAAGAAGGGCATGGCGGGGGCTTGGCTGGCTCTCCTGAGGGAGGGAGGGAGAGACAGGGCCTGTGTACCTGCTCTGGGGGAGAGTGGACTTTGGTGGACAAACCCTAAAACTGTTCATGAGAAATGCTGAATAATGTTCTGTGTGTAAATGTGACTTTAGTTACAAACATTTGACTGTCTGCTATTTAACGTCGGCAGATTGGTCAAAACTAACAACCTAACGTGGTATTTTGCTTCACACATCGAAACTCACGTCTTTTGTAAGGAACTACAAAGTGCTGGGGGTGTGTAGGGTGGCCGACACTCCCCCGTGACCTCTTCACACTGCTCTGTTACCGAGGCCTGACATTCCACAGAGTACTGCAAGGTTTTCTGAAGACTGATTCAAAGCTGGTCCAGACACCTCTGTCCAGGACAAAGAGGCAGGGCCTCCCAAGCCTCAGGAGGACCTTGTGGGAGGGCCTGCCTCTACAGGGGGCTCAGCCTGCAGCCCTTCCCATGAAGCAGCGCGCTGTGGGGACAGCCTGTGAGGTCGCCACTCTGGACCCCTTAGTCTGTGCTCTTTGGAATGGCCCTCTCCAGCCTGAGGGAGCTCCCTGACCTTGTGCAGGAAGTATCAGGTTAGGAAACTTCAGACTCACCTCCGTGACAAAGCCAGGCTCCCTCCTCATGCCTGGTGGGGGTGCCACAAGGTTGGGCCACTCACCCGGGGGTGCTTTGTCTGAAGCCCACAGACAGCCTTGGTTGAGTGAAGAGAGGCTTTAGGGCAGAAAGAAAAGTGCAGATCAGG